TGCATCTGCACAAAAAAAGAAAAAACTATCCGAAGTCGATGCTGTACCAACAAAAAGATGTCCATTCGTCTATCTTTTTGTATAAACTCGTTGGTAACTTTATCATAAAAATCTAAATCTTTTTTTGTTATAATTATARTTTTATTATAAAACAATATTAGGACTATTATATTGTGATTAAAATAGTATAAAATGCACTTAAAATGGTTTTTACCTAAATTTTTATATTTATATTATAAGATATTATACATTAGTACATTAAATTCTACATGCATAAAAAAAAATTGATTCAATYTGAATTTCACGTGAACATTTTTTTTAAATTGTATAAAACAAAAAAAAAGTCAAAGCTGTTAGTAAGTGGAATTTAATTAAGAATATTGGAAAATGAACTAAAAAAGGGAAGTATGATTTAAAATTAATTATTTTTTAAAGTTAAACCAATGTATCAATCTAAACTATAGTTTTTAGTTTCATATATACATTTTTTTTTAATAACCCTCACCGAAAAAAAACCTGGGATGCACTATACAGTATAGTTTATATATTATATACATATATAAAGGCCAAATACCACTCGTTACTCATCGCTACATCTCATAAAAACTGCAAAACGTAGCAACGAAATTTGCAATAGTTTTCTCTAACGTTCTAGATGTGCAATAAAAAAGGATTTTTCGAAATGTTAATCTTAAAGAGATCCACAAACAATAGGGTTTGAGATTTGCGATGGAAATCGGAATTTTTTTGTTTATAAATAGTTACCATTGGTTACAGGTTAAAATTATTGTACATTTTATAAGTAGAAAATACTTTAAATTAATAAACCTATATATATTATATAAATAAAATGATTGCCATTGGTTACTTGGGCAGTTGATGTAAAAGCAATTAGCATGCATCAAATTGTTACGCTGATGGTTTCGAATAAACAAAAAATATGTCTAAAATTAATTAATTACTGACACGAGTATTACACCTACGACCTACCTACCTGATGATATACCTATCGCATCATCAAGTAGGTACCTACCTAAATGTTATCGTGGCTTACAGATTATAGTAGAAATAGTAGAAAATGTTTGAGTTTTGAACACCGTTACATCGCATATTTAACGACGAATTTATCAAAGCTTGAATCATAATATACTGTTTGCAATTGGAATTTTTAACAGGAAACGAAGTGCACGGGGTCAGCACTTCAGCGGTAAGCTGTAGCGGTATGTGTATARGTAATACTATGTACTATATATTATTATTGTATATTATTATTATCGATATAGACGTGTAGTGACATCTCGTGGCGAACTCGAATATAATGTTAAAATATTTTTTATTCAAGGAGAATATAAACAATCTGATTTACGCCAAGAAAGTAAGTTGTAAGCCATGCAAATTTTATCAGCAGCTGCTGCTGGATTGGGGTATGGTGATATTGAAATTGTGATAATATTAATATTATTAAGGCGTTAGATGAATACAATTTCATAACACAACTATCTATTTTCCGATTCCAAATCCGAGGCCTCGATTCTTAATATCTGAACAGTACTTGAATGTACGTTTTGCGTTTTGTGCGAATAGTTCTACGAAACGATCAYTGAAAGCTGCCACTCGCTTTTAGACGAAATTATAATCGAAGGTAAGGTATGAATTTAATTTGTTAAAGGTTCGTTGTTTTACCCACGATTGGGCATCAGATCATTCATAATATTTACTTATGGGTAAATGGGGTAAATGTTGTGAGTCTTGGGTCATTAAGTATTACTGATAATCGTGACATTTGGTACATCATTTCTATATATTATTTTATTTTTAGCATATCGGCCAATACTGTAATCATGGGAGCTGCTGCTTTACCAATTTTAATTTTCACCGGTTTCTGGGGTGTGGTCGGCATTGTGTTACCATTTATCATTCCCAAAGGACCAGATCGAGGGTAATTTAATTTTAGTCTCATTTGTTAAACAATGCTATAAGTTGAAGTAATTATGGATTTTTTTAGTGTTCAACAACTCGTGTTGATGATGACAGCAGCAACCTGTTATTTGTTGTGAGTATTAGAATGTTTAACATAACTTGTGTTATAAAGTGAATATTAATGAACAACATMTTCATCTAGTATTTTGTATTGTAATACTATGATCTATCTTTATAAATTTATGTTTAGGTGTGTTACCAAGATTTTTTTAGGTGGGAAAAGAGCCCCCCTATAAAATAATATTAAATATGAAATAGACATCTGAATCATATACATAATACTGGGGTCGTAAACTTTTTTTGAGTACCAACATTTGTTATTAAAGCTCTTAGAAAAATATTACACCCCTATACTAACATTTTTTCGTAGGATGATTTATTTTTAAATAATTCTCGTAATTTAATATCATCATCATTTGAATATACATAATATTATAATTTTAATTCTGAACGTAATGACTTTCCCTAAGAATCACTTAATGGTAGGGGTGGAAGAATGTTTACAAATCTAGATTACAAGAGACAAAAACATTTATAAGAATAAAATTGTAATTTTGAATGCACCTATTACATTAGATGAATCTAAGGACTTAATATAATTGTTATTTATTTACTTTACCATATTAGTATCTTTGTAAGATGAAGCAACCATAATTCATTATATAATGTATAGAGAATATGGCTGTATTAGTGTATAGTAAACATCAATAAACAATAACAGTAGAGGAGTAGTATTATTCACACAGAGTCTMTTCTGCTGTCAATTTTAATAAGAAAAAAAGGAAATAAGGTCTATATYGTAGGGTTACCATATTTTATTTGGCAAAAACCGTGACAAATTTTTTTAATTTWATTTATTGATTTTCTGATTATACAATATAATTTGTAACACATATTATATAGATAACATTTATTATATTTGAATAAAGAAATACATGATAAAATGTTACATTTTTAATCTGCGTCTGATGTGTTCTCCGTTGGCAGAAAGATCTGAGTTGTTTAATATTTGGCTGAACTATGTACTTTTTCAAGCAATGTTCTTGAATGTTCAATCAACTCATAGAATTTACTACAAGACATGTTATCATAACTTGTTTTAATTATTAATGAAGCCTCAACAGTACTTATGTCTAATTTATTTCGTAATTTTGTCCATGTACTATTAATTTATTCAACTTGTTATTTTTTAACTATATCTTGTATATGTTTTGTTCATATCTATCTCATATCTTACTTGTTACTTTTTTCGATCAAATGTCTAATAAAAGATAAAAAAAATTATTGAAGTCTCATTCTGGGACAATTTTCTGTGCCGAAAGACATTGTTGGGACACCGGGACGTATGGTAACCCTACTATATCAATCATTATATTAATACAATATTCACAGATTTATACAGACAAATGTATTATTCTTCCATATTCAATATTCTATTAACTATAATGTATATTATATAAATTATGCATTTATGAATTAGGAATATTACTATTTTGTTTTGGTTGAGATTAAATGGGATGAAAGTTGATTTGATATTTAAACCTCGTGTTCTTGATTTTAGAAGTCAAAATTTGATTTTATGCATATTGATTTATAATTTATAATATTTATGTATTATTTTTTAGTTGGCTGTGTTGTTATATGGCTCAAATGAATCCACTAGTTGGGCCAAAATTAAATCAACATACAATTCTAATAATGGCACGCGAATGGGTAGGAAATGTCCTTTATTTTTAAACAATTATATCATATTTATGCATATTTTTTCTTTTTCAGGGGAATTTAATACAGTAATTTCGATACAGATGAAAAATGAAAAATGAATCATAAGTTATTTGTTAATATTTAATCATTCCTGTTTTTTAGTTCTTTTTAAATTTTCCATTATTTATCCATCTGTTAAACACTTTTAGATTTCAATAGAACCACTGGAGAACATGGATCATTTTAAACTGTTTTAGTAATTTGTTTAATTATGTATGTATAAAGTATAATTTTAAAACTTAAAATGTATTTTAATTTTAATACAACACCAAACCAATTCATATTTATTATTACCTTTATTCAMATAGTTACAGTAGCATATGCAGGGTAGCCTAACCTAAAGCCTCCTCCTCAATGCCCGTGGTATGATTACATTAATATATATTTATCGAGTTTCAACTGTTGTTAATTATCGAGATTAACTATAGTAATATTTCTAGGTAGGCTGAATTMATTTTTTCAAAAACATTGTAATTGCAAACCAATTTTCTTAAAATGATGAGTAATTTTTTGTTAAAATATGAGCTACTTGAATGAGAATTCTTATTTTAAATTTTCAAGCGTTGTCTATATAAATTTAATGTTTTTAAAATTTTGAACTACTAGTTAATTGTGGTTTGTATTTGTCAAAATTTAAACCTTAAACGCTTATAAAAATAATTATGCCTGGGTATCATTTATATTTTTAAATAGCTATACCTATAATAAAAAATTATGAGAAACCTTTTAACATTTTTAAGCTGTTTGACCCAGAAAAACTTTTTATCAAAATTTTTAGTCAAACAACTAAAACGCCATTGTATAATTGTTTCTCCAAAATGCTAATCTATTGAATATAACTATGTGAGTTTCATTAACAATTGTTAACTCTTAACATTTGACTTGATCTAGTATGCCTACACAGTACTCAGGTATAATCCTTTATAAGCTAAAACTGAATTCTTATTTTGAATATTTGTATTAAAAGCTTAATATAAATTTAAAATCTGATTAGTCCACCTGAAACTATATATGTATTGCAGATTCAAAACTAAGATAAGACAATTCTTATCATTGAACTCTTAAATTAGTATAGGTAAAAGTAATTTATTATATTTAAGTAAGCTAAAAATTTCTTTCCATCTGGCCTTTTATGTATGGAATATTTTCAGTCTAAAATTTATAACTCAAAATAATTGAATTAATATAAAACAGAAAGTTAGTTCTCAAAGAATAATTACACAACTTACAGCTGCTTAT